TGCTTTATTTTATTTGCTGGCTTAGGTAGATTGAACCGTCCATGTATCTCCAGGTTAAAACCAGTTTGATCATAGTGAGGGACCTTCCCAAAGACAACCCACCGCACTGTGTAGCACTGGTTGGGTGGACATGAATTCTTTTAGCCTGTTTGTGCCATGGAAAGATTTTATTTCTCCTTCCACCATGGCAAATAGTTTTGCTGGCTACAGCAGTCTGGGCCAGCATCCACGGTCTTTTAAAACACACAGAACATTTCTCCCGACTCTTCTGGCTTGGAGGTTTCCACTGAGAATGTGTTCTTGTGGGTTTGCATTGTATGTGGCCTGTGTCTATTCTGTGGAAGCTTTCAATACTCTTCCTTTGTTCTAGATATTCACTGTTTTCACTATGATACGCCATGGAAAGTCTCCTTTAGGTTTTCTCTACCTGGTGTTCTGTGTGCTTCTTGTATCTGTATGTGTTTGACTGTCCGTAGTTTGGGGGAGTTTTCTTCTAGGACTAGTGGCCTGGGATTCTTCTCCTTCATTCACACCCATCATTTGAAGATCTGGTCTTTTCACGGTGTCTCATAGTTCCTGAATATTCCTTTCCTGTGTCTCTTTTGATTTTTTTTTTTATATTCTTTGCCTGAACCCTCTAGTCCCTCCCCTTTATCACTGAGTCTGGATAGTCCGTCTCCTCTTGATTCCTTCTACTTGCAAGGCTTCCTCTGAGTTTTCTAATTGGGTTGTTCAGCTTCTCAATCCTTCCATTTCATCTCGAGTCTCTTCGGTATTTTTACATCCTTAGTGAATTCCATTTTCAAATCCTGAATTGTTCCTGTCATTTTCTTCAACCTGTATTTGTGTTTCTTGGGCATCCCTCAGGCATTTATCTCTTTAAGTTTGTTGAGCTACCTCTCTCTTTTTTTAAAAAAATTTATTATGTATCTAATATTCTGTGTGTATGCCTGCAGGCCAGAAGAGGGCACCAGATCTCATTACAGATGATTGTGAGCCATTATGTGGTGCTGGGAATTGAACTTGGGACCTTTGGAAGAGCAGGCAATGCTCTTAACTACTGAGCCATTTCTCCAGCCCTTGAGCTATCTCTTCATGTAGCCTTCAAACTTCTTAATTCTTTGATTATGTTTATGATTGTTCCTTTGCATTCCTGATCTTGGGGGGTTCATCTAGGTGATTCTCCCAAAAGAACATTTCTCTAAGACTGGTAGGTTTTGTCGGGAACAGGCTTACTATCCTAACTCTTCCTGTCTTTTTGTGTTTTGAGGTGGAGACCTGAGCATTTGGACTTTTTTCCTTGGTTGGAAATCTGGTGTGGACACAAAAGACTGGCACTAAGGCTGGGCAGAGCATAGGGAGGGTGAGCAAGTCTGAGCCAGGGTCCTGGTTGTGGGCCTGGGTAGGTATAGGGATTAGGAAGGTGAAGGCAGAGACGTGTCAGGTGGAGTCACCAAGCTGGATTGGTGCACAAGACTTTTGGAGTGGGACAGACCTGAAGGTTGGATGCGGTGGGTTGGATAGGGTCAGGAGGACACACGGATTGGAATGGAATGCAGGATATATCAGTCCCGCCCAAGCCTGAGGTTGAGGATAGCATAGACAGGTTTCCCCAGAATAGACCAGGGTACTTGGTGTAGGACCTGAGCTAAGTCTGAGGACTGTGAAGGGTGCAGGTGGGGAAGGTTGGGTGGACAGTACCCAACCTGGGTTGAAGTCCAGCTATGCAGGCCGGGCTGTGCCTGAAGACTAGTTATAGCATAGGCAGAATCAGATTAGGAAGACACAGGACACTGAGCCGGTGCAGAAGATCATAACTAGCTTTTAAACCAAATGCTGCATAAACGCATAGGACAAATACAGAGAATCTGAGCCGTGAAGCCAGGCCTCACATGGAGACTGCACGGCTCTGCCTCTGTTTGATAAGGGGGTAAAGGAAAGAGCCTTTGTGTTTCCAGCAGAAAGGAACCCAACGTGGATGTCTGGGAAGCATATTAGCTCCTTTATGCTGTGAACTCTTTTTCATTAAGACCGTCTAAGACTTTTTTAAATATTATTTTATTCAGTCTGCAGACCTTAGCTGTGGTAGAATTTTTAGTATCCTATGCTGGGAAATTCTCTAAGACCAAGGCCCAGTAATAGATCAAAGTATGAGCATTAGAAGGATTGCTTCAGCTTTGTTCTTCTTGCTTTCAACGAGGACAACTTTACAAGGATAAGAAATACGGCACTGAGGAATTACCAATAATTCTGCCTCCACTGTAGGATCAGAGGTGTAAAGAACCCAAGGGATGTCCTGAAGTGGCCCCATCCTATCCAGATATTAGGGACATTCAGGAACCCTGGCTGAGCCTTTGTCTCCTGTTCAATTACATATAGGTCAGGGGCACAAAAAAAAAAATTGGTGTAGGCAACGCTTAATGGTCAGGTTGACCAGGCTCAGAACTCAGCACCTAACTCAAGCATCTAAAGACACTCTTGGGACATTTCCTTATTTATTGAGCTAGCTCCATGCTGGATTCTGTTTAAGGCGCTGGCCTCAACACTGATGAAGAGGCATGATAAGGGAGCTCCCATGTGACCAGGAAATGGGTCACAACTACAGATAGCAGTGGCGACAGCATATAGGGAGAGTGAGTGGGCAGATTAGTGGTTCACTCCAGGACTTGCTTCCTCGGGGCATAGGGGTCAGGCAGCAGCAATGTAGGCTGAAGGTGCCTGTCTGCAGAGCCTCTAGTTCGGGGATAACTTTGACTCTGACTCAGGGAATCTTCTGAGTCTTCATGCATTGAGTCTTCAAGCAAGCCAGGAAAACCAGAGTGTTGGGCTTACTTCCAGAGACAAGACACGCCCCCCTGCCCACGGGAACTCTCCTGGTGAACAAATTCTACATAATTCAAATATAAGTCAAGTCAAAAGAAAGACCTTGCACCATAAGAAATTAATAAGCTGATGCCAAATGTACAGCAAGGTCTCCGACCATAAGGGAATCAAACTCTGACTGCATGACTGACAGGCAACAGAGAAAGTGCTGAAGTTCACACACTGAGCAGTCAATACCTAAGCCATGCGTGGTAACATGCATCTACAGGCCCCGCTGCTCAAGGAGGCTGAGGCCAGAGGAGGTCAAGAGTTTGAAGCCAGCCTGGACAATATACCAATACTCTGCAACCCTTCCCGCCCCCCTCCAAAATAAATAAATAAAAATGTTAAATTTTTTTGAAAGATGAAGCTAAACAAAACTTAAATGTAAAAATCAAAATCTGCAGGGTGGATCTGAAAATTTCTAACATGATTGGAGTCAGTCGCTTAGAAAACCACGGGAATGAGTATGCCCAATGTATACGCAATGTCAATCAATCTAGTGTACCAGTTAGCTGCTGCCAGCAAGTCAAAGGATCACAGGGACGGACGCAGACAAGTACACAGCAAACCCAACACCCAGTGGTGGAAGGAAGTCTCAGTACAGTATAGCTGACAGGAAAGGGACTTCTGCAGCCTCATAAGCAGCATCAACAGGACAAGAGCTGGTGTCTTACTCATGGCGGAGGAGGGAGTCCTCCCAGTGCGACCAGAGAGCACTCTTGCCACCTTATTATGGTTGCTGTAATGAGGAGGGTGGAGGAAAAATTAAAGGGGATACAGATTGGAAAGGAAACAAAATAAAACCACCCCCACTACACATGCTGTGATGTTCTATATTTAAGATCTCAAGAATCCCATTTAAAAAAAAAAAAACTCCCTTGAGATCAGGAAAATGACAAATCATAAAACTAGCCTAAAAATTCCTCTCCCTGTGCTGACAGTGACGGCCTGGACAAAAGAACATGGAGTGCCAGCCACCATCGCTGCAAAGAGAAGGAAGCGTGAAGATTTAGCACAACTGCATAGTGCCTGCACAATGACTTTTTAAACAAAGCTGAAATGAATTAGGAGATAGATAGACCATGCTCACAGACTGTAGAGCATATAAAGTGTATATGGGACAAGAATGATTGCCACACAGAGCAGCTTGGGGGAACCGCAGCAAGTGAGAGATGCCCCCCAACACTGTGCAGACAGGACACACCTGCCACGATCAAGACAGTGCGGGAGGGAATGGATAGGCACTTAACCAACGTGCCAAGACAAGGAACTGAGAAATACGCCTCACAAAGCTCTAATTGCTTCTTAAATGATTTCTTCGATAATTTATTTTATGCATTTGATTGTTTCACTCATACATAGGTCTGTGTACTATGTGCATGCCTGGAAGCGAAAGAGGAGGTCGGATCCCTTGGAACAGTTGTGGACAGTGGTGAGCCTCCATGTGAATTCTGGGAATTAAGCCCAGGCCCTCTGTAACAATAACAAATGCTCTAACCATTGAGCCATCTCTTCAGGCCATGCAATGCTCCCCTTTTTAAAATTTTATACAGGAATCAAAGCAATTCAACAGAGGAGAGAGTGCTCCCTTGATAAATGGCGCTGGGATAATTGATGGAATAGCCATGGACCGGAGAAGAAACCTCCATCTAAGACACACATAGATACCAGCTCAAAGCTAAAACTTTAAACACTGTCTGTAACTTATAACTGAGCAGTACATTCTTAGACATAACACTAAATCATAATCTCTAAGACACACAAACTTCATAAGGCACTCTAGAAGAGTATTTACAAAATGTATATCCTACAAAGCTTTGCATATTTGTATCTCAACTATATAAGCACTCGAAAGGCAACATTAAAAATTCAGTTACAAAATACATAGATGGAAACTTACAGCCAGCTCACTAAGCTGTTCCGGCCCTCTTACACCTGACCTTGTTTGATCAGTACTCATGAATCGGCAACTAACTGGAGACAGTTGCCTTTTCTACCTAGACTAAGGGACATTCTACTCCTTAGAAATCACACCTTCCCAACTTCACCAACTGAAGTTGAGTCTATCAAAGTAGCTAACAAACTGTCCTGACTATGGGTGCTGGTAGATCATAGGAAGCAGGCATGGTCGTTACCTCAAATATTATCAGAGTGTAAACCCCCGTGAGGATGGCCACGGCGATGGTCACTTGTGCTTCAACACTCGCCCCGAGGAACTGATGGGCCAGCAAGAGAGGGACGAGGCGACTTTGCTGGAGGGAAGCCTGGATACTGATCGAAACAGCCTCCCTGCAAAATAAATCAAAGGTCTTGAGGCTGATCAAGGACACTGTGAATAATTACTGTACTTCTTCAACATCCTTTCTAGCAAGCCAGCATGGCCAGAGCCAGAGCCCAGGGTATTATTCCACAGTGGTGCAACCAAATGCACAGTCTCTCAGACAAAAGAGCCCTAAGTACAGGCCTAAAACGCAGGGCCCAATCTTTCTGGGACACTCAACAAGAACTCTTTAGATTTTTGAAGGTGCCACTCAGCAATTAGCCTGCAGATGGCAAAGGAAATGTCATTCATTTTCCTCATCCTTACCAATGTAATGAGGTGCTTCAGCTGCTAATACAGACATTCACCGGCTAGTTAAACTTTAGTCCCTGAGAGTGTCAAACAGTGCCGAAAAAGGGAAGCCTGCAGACCATCAAGTGTGACGTGATGAAACAGAAGAGCTTGCTAAAAGTCTCTCCATCTTTAACTTTGGTGAGCCTCGTAGTGTCAACTCCCATCCCAAGTGAACTCCTAACTCCCCAGACCTCAGAACACGATTATGTAGAGATGGTTCTTAAGGAAGAATGTTGAAATGAAGTCATGAGGGTAGGTCTTAATTCAGTGGGACTTGCGTCCTTCAGCAGAGATAAGGACCCAGATATACAAGGAAGACAAAACAAGATGATGTCTGTGACCCAGGAAGACAGCCCTCAATGTACGCTAAGCCTGACAACAGCCTGTTGTCTAATTCCCAGTCTCATAAATACGTGTGATGTTTCAGCTGTCCAAGGCACGCACCCTCGCTGGTCACAACCACAATGGTCATAACCACAACCACAGTGCAGGTGGTCTCGAGAGAGTGTTTTTAGTTAAATAAAAAGCCAAAGAAGCCCCAAATCCCCACCGGATACAAGAGGTTATATCCAGGATCCCCAAAGATACCCAAACCAGGATACTCAAATCTCATATATGAACTGCCATAGTACTTGTATACTATTAGTAAAATTGAGCACTGACTAAAACATGCCTTCCCTTCGAAATGGGTACTGAAGTCAATCCTCTTTGGTCCTGGCCAGGATAGTTACAGTATTTCCTGCAGAGGTTTGCGCTTGATGGCTACACTGAACATCTGAGTACCTGGCTCAAATCGCATTGCTCATCTGTGACTATGTGTGCCCAAGTGTGGGATAGGCTGGACTTCCTTAAGCAAGCGGTAGAGTTTAGGTGTGCCATTCCAAAGGTCAGTCCTGGAAACTCAATCTGCCAGTTACGTGTTGATCATGTTTGGGGAGGTGCGTAGGTTTAGGTGACTCCTCAAATGGCACCTGCAGCTGGGGGAGAAGAGTGCCCCGGGCTGGCAGGCTTGCTCTGTCTTGCCATTGGATGCCGCCAAAGGCCCTATGTCAAGAATGTTGGCCCTGTGCTCTTGGCCTTCCCAGCCTCCAGAACAGTAGATAAAAAAAAAAAAAAACATTATTCCTCATAAGTCAGTCTTGGGTACGCTGGTGTACCCGCAGAAGGCAGAGAGGAGATGATAAGCCTTACCCAGAAAACTCATCCCGAAACCCCAAACCCACCTGCTCACGATCTCAAAAGTTCGGCTCACCAGCGTATGCTCGCTTCTTGGATTTAAAAGGACAGTCCAGTTGTGAGTGGCCTGCAGAAGTCAAAATTTACAATTATAGTAAGTCTTTGTGAATAAGCACCGTGAAATATATCTTCTGTACGGACACAATTTTTTGCAAATATTCTCATCTAATTCTTGAATATAGTAGAACCTGTGGTGGGTAAGGAAGGCCAACAATACTGATTTATGAGTAAAATAAATCATTAAAATGTACTGGAATTATTTGAGTCTCGGGTAATCTTTTAGTCATCTGAGGCAATTAAAAAAAATGCCTCCTTAGAATTGATTTCTGCTTACAGTCAGGAAGCCACAAACCTGTCCCAAGAAACCCAGCACCCTGTGTCACAGCGATCCTGATCCTCCTCCCACAGAGCTGAGCTGGAACCGCAGCAGCGGCAGACAAACCTGCCCTGAGCCAACATAGCAGATGGCAGCCTCGGGGACCAGAGAGGAACCTTCCATGGGGAGGACGGGTCTCCCTCACAGATGGAGAGAAACCAAACAGAACACAGGAGCTCTACGGTAGGTCTCTGCAGAGAACTTCCTGCGTGAGGAAACAGAAATCATCCTCGAAGACTCGGGGGCTTGCAAAGATGGTGTCTGAGGGAAATGTTCTCTGTGTGTCTGGAGATGGATGTGTGCGTGGGCATGTGCAGAGTGCCAGTGTGTTAAAGGGAGCCTTCTGGCCAGAGCAAGAACAAGTGATACTACTCATTTGATCTGGACAATAACTACACCGAGAAGGTACCTAGACATCAGAACCTACTTGTAGTTATCTGTAGCATAGCAGGGAACCTGTAATAATGACGTGGTAAAATAACTTTGGATCGTGCAACTTTCTGCCACAGAGACGATGAATGTTTGAGAAGACATCGGTGTCAGTGACTCTGATTCGATTATCACACTTTGTGTGTATGTGAGTATCCAACTATTAGACTCTGCCTTATAAGTATATATGCATGGTGTGGTGATTAAATTTTTTAATTGTAGAATAATGTTTAAAGGCATCAACTTATACCCCATGTCTTCAACATAAGAGTCAATAGGCACAGGGTAGACACATCTGCCCCCCTCGTTCATTGCAGCGGGCTGTGCACCTCACATGGGAATTTAGTTTCTGTCTTAAGGTCATTCTATGATTTAGAATGCTAATGGTGTACCAGCCTTTGACAGTTACCATCCTTGGTTATGATTAGACTTTTGTCCTAAGGACCACGATCTGCAGAACAGGAAAATGTAAGAGGCACAGCCTCGCACATAAACAGGGCTCCCTTCCAATGGCTGGTGACACCAGGGAAAACTCCTGAGCACAGGACATATCTTACAGGCAGGTGTTTCCGTGGGTGTCCAGTGAAGTCACTGACCCCGGGACTTGGGGACAGGTGAGGCTCCATAGAGAGGCATCGTGCCTTTGATGCCTAGACCCTGATTGCCGCTGGCTCTCCTCCTGCGCACAGGTGCATGTTCAGAATGGGAGCTGAAGGCAGAGTTCTGCACGGGGCCCTACAGACACATGATTCAGGGACCTATGGGCTCCGCAATGCCACAAACACAGGTGTAGTCTCCACCTGTCCTCTGTGACGTCAGCCGAGTCCCAGACAGACTTGCGCTTTACAACAAAAACTGCCAACATTCATAATGCTTCTCTGAATAAGCGAGTGGAAATTGTTATTGCATGAAAAGCTTGCAGGTGTCACTTGACTGCAATGGCATGGAAAAATAATTTCAGTGACAAAGAGAAAGAAAAGCATCAACGGCTTCGCTAATAACGGAGTTCCTGCCTTTAGGCTTCCGTGAAATCCACTCAACAAGAAGCTCCATTTATGATGAGGCGTAGTGAGATTTTACAATGCCTTTCAAACAACTACGGAAGTATAACCTGTGGTCGCCGCCGCCTGCTGCCCATTGGGTCTGCCTGGGTCACCACCACCACGACATGCTCCTCTTTCCCCGAACCGCTTTGTCCACCAGCCATCAGGGGCCCTGCCAGGTCCAGCTGAAGCATCACGGAGTCCACGTGGCCGCTGAGGTTCACAGCTGAGGGCGGATCAAGGTGAAGTACAGAGCAAGGAAGAAACACCTACTAACCCATTGACCCCGCCCCAAGACACACCCCTTCCTAGGAGAGCTCCGGAAGAAATGTCCGTCCAGCCTTTCTCCAGGCCCCCTACCCTGAGCCACTTATCACTCCAGTCCTTCATTACGACACATCCGATTGGTTTTAGGCAGCTCTATCATGCTGAACTTCTGTTGCTTGAGTTCTGAATACTAGCTACACAGTGCTCATGCCTGTCTTCTTGTTTCCCCTGTTACAGCTAGCGTAAAACTTCCGTCCAAGTTCACGCGTCCGTAGAAGATGAAACACATGCGCTCGTCTAAGTCACAGGGTCTCAAACCCCTGCTTGCAAGCTGAGAGACCACAAGGAGGTTTAAAAGCACTCTGAAACTGGCGAAAATCAACGGTGTCCGCAGCAAACAAGAAGGGTCAGGATAAGAGGCCGCTCCCACTTCACAATCCTTCCCAGGGCAACTCCTACATCCCTGCTTGTGTGTTGTACAACATAAGAGCCCATGTTCCTCAGCTGCCTTGACCCTCAGAACCTCCCACCTCTGCTGCCAGGTCCCAGTACCATGGAGTGTGTAAGAGTGACAGCCGACTGTCCAGGACAACTAGCCCAGGCATTTTGAGCCAGGTCTCCAAAGCCTTCAGAAAGAGCTTGCTGGGTTCAGGATTTACCAATGGTCGGTGCCTTCGGCCCCTAGAAGCGCAGCTGGTTTATTGGAGGGAGGGTAGCTACGAGGTTCCCTTTGCGTGCTGGCGAAAGTCTTTCAATAAATGGCTCCTTTTCTTTTTTATTTTATTTTTTTGTTAATTTTCAAGACATACTGCTTTTAAAGTAAAGGAAATGTTGGGTGAGCCCTGTGATCTGTGTGACGGCTGCCCCACACTGCTCGACACTTGGGTTTAGAAGGAACAAACCGAAAAATGGAAGTCACACATGGAACAAAATTTACAAAGAAAAGGTCCAAGAGCCCCTGTTGCTCGGCCAGCCTGAAACCGTTCCTGTCCTGGTCTTTTCCCTAAGCCCTACTCAGAAGAAACAGTTTAATAGGCCTTGAAGACGGCAGAAAGTAGAACAGTGCCACCTAGAGGCAAATCTCAGAAGAGCAGCGGGCATCTCTCCCGGATTTGAGCTTTTATCTCTCTACTGCCTGGTAAAACAAAGCCTTTGACCTCGGGTGAAGCCGTTATTCTTCTTCCACGAATGCTCAAATACCTGACAAGAACAAACTCGAGAACAGAAAAAATTCAGTCTGGCTGTCATTTTGAGAAGACCTAGTCTTCATGCTGGGGAAGGCAGGTGGTTCCATTGCAGTGAGAACATTCTGGAAGAGAAGCTGGGGCCAAAAAGGCTGGGCTATAACCCTCAAGGCCCGCTCCACTGATCCACTGCCTACAGTAGGTCACGCCCCTCAAAGATTCCACAACCTCTCAAAATAGTGCATGAGTCTTTGGGAGGGGGTGAAAAGCAGTAGTGGGGGGGGGGTGACCAGGTGACGTAAAAACACCCTCCGGTAGTCACTCAAAGAGAGAACACAAACATTAAAGGGGCAGCTGAGTGTAGTGGCGCACGCCTTTAATCCCAGCACTCAGAAGGCAGAGGAAGCCAGATCTTGGTGGGTTTGTGGCCAGCCTGGTCTACTGAGTGAGCTCCAGGACAGTCGGGACTGCCTTCTCCCATTGCTCTGAGGACAATGTTTCTGAAAGAAATTAACCTTTGAACGGGTGGACTTAATGAAGCTAAGTGCCCTCCCCAACACATCAGATCTCATCCAACCCACAAATCCAGGTGGATGAGGTCCCTGAGGGGAGGCAGTCCACTTGCTCGCTAGTGAACCCAATCTTCATCTCCTTCTCTAGGCTCAGGCCTTTGATTGTAGACTGGAACACCACCTACCACTGCCATCCCAAGCACCCAGGCCTTTGAGTTCCACTTGGCCTTGCAGGTGGAATTCTTAGCTTTCACAATCATATGAGTCAATGTCTTAAAATAATTTTTATATATGTGTGTGTGTTTGTATATATATATATATATATATATAGTGTGTGTGTGTGTTTGTGTATATATATATATATATATATATATAGTGTGTGTGTGTGTGTGCGCGCGTGCGCGCATGAGTTCTGTGTTTTGTTGTTTAATTTATGGGGTCCTGTTCAGAGACCCTAAAAGGGTAATGGAGGAAATTGTCTTCATTCCCTACAGGGTTTTCCTCTACGTTCATTGGTAGCTCTGGCCACAGCTCAAGGTGTGCCGAGGGGCAGAAAAGAGCATGGAGAGAGAGGGGGAGACAAAGGATGAGGTGTTGAGAAGGAAGGCGAGGGGAGAGGTGGAGAGAGGGAGGGAAGGGGAGGTAAATCTAGTAACCTGTGGGCAAAGGGTCCCTGGCCTCTGCTCCTTTCCACAGTGGCCTGGGAGCCCCACCACCCTCTCCCATAACAAGCACAGACAACAATTTGGGGACAAAGGACTTCAGGTGCCTGCAATTACAGGTTTCTAAAATAAACCCAGCAATTACTGAGCTGACAGAGCCTGACTGCTACCAGGGAACGCAGATGTTCACAAGGAAGACATAGCCTTGTTATTCCCCAACGGAGGGAGAACGGCTCTCCAACCCAGCGGCCTTCCTGTCCCAGCACACGGCCCATGCCTCTGGCCTCAGCTCCAACCAGGAAGGCTGGCAAAGGTCAAGAAGGGAGAATACAAGGGCTGTGCTAAATTCTCTTTCTTCTAAGAACTTCCCTCCGGGGTCAGAACCCCATTCCGCCCCAACACGCCTTGTCTGTTTCTTAGTTCTGGTGTTTTAAGACAGGGTCTCACTGTGTAGTAGATTGTCCTCTCCTGCCTGAGCTTCTCGAGTGCTAAGATCATTACAGTCACGCCTCACCCCACATCCTAGAACTGAAGCGGGAAAAACACAATCAAAAATAATAAACTAGAGATCCAAGCATGCTTCTGTCTGCCAGTTCGGAGAATACGGCCCTCGCTGTGAGCTAGGTATTGCGCCCTGTGCCCTATCACAAAGAACATAATTCTTCCAGGCAAGCCAGAAGACGCTGGTTAACAGCTACCCCTACATTATCTCTGCTCTGTAAATCCCCCATTTGTTCAAAATGACTAGAACTGAGAGTTGTTGTCTCTGTAAAGCTGTCTAATTGATTGAAACATAACTTGGGGACAGGATCCTAAAAGCAACGTATGTGTGGAAGCCCATTTAAGGATGTGATGTGATATATCTCAAAGCTACGGAAGTTATGGAAGATCTGTGTTCAGGGCGGAGGTTCCTTGACCTGGGTGCGTTGGTCAACCACTGGCTAAAGAGATATTTTTCACGTTATCTCTGGGTGCTTGGAGGATTTTCTGCAGGGAGGCATTCGTCTGTTGTTTCAGCCCCTTCTTCGAGTCTAGCAGAACCTCCCTCCGTGGAGCATCTCACTACACCTCCTGCAGCCCACACATCCCCAGCTGGAATAAGGCCCAAGAGGGCCACACAAACCCTCACTGTGCATTTAGAGACTAGCGTCTTGGGAGAGGAGCCATTGGAAATCTGTGGTGACAGTGGACTTGTTCCGAGGAGCCCACAGTGAAAATGAAATCAGCCTCCATGGAGCAATAATTGTCCTACATCCCTGTGATGTGGGAGTCCTCTCTGTGTGCTGTAATTACCATTCATGAATAAAGAAACTGCCTTGGCCTGTTGATAGGGCAGAACTTAGGTAGATGGGGAAGATGAAACTGAATGCTGGGAGGAAGAAGGGCGGAGTCAGAGAGACGCTATGGAGCTGCCGCCAGAGTCAGACATGCCTAATCTTTGCCGGTAAGCCACTGCCACATGGCAATACACAGATTAATGGAGATGGGTTAAATTAATATGGAAGAGTTAGCCAATAAGAAGTTAGAGCTAATGGGCCAAGCAATGTTTTAATTAATATAGTTTCTGTGTAGTTATTTTGGTTCTGGGAGGCCGATATGAGCAAGTAGCCTCCTCCTACATCCCTGAGCATCCCTGCCCTCCTGCCTGGCTGTCCCCATCTCTCCCATCTCTTTCTATCTTTTCTTTTTTCTTCTTTCATCCAAATGTGCAATTTCATCCAGAAAACAGAAAATGAGCTTCCTGCTACCTGTGTTGCCTAAAACACATGGGCCACTGGGCAGGACAGGCTGTGAGCCCCTTGGTGGAGACTAGACACAGGACTGTCAATGAAGAGCTTTGTGGAGGTGCTTTAGAATAGACGTGGCACACCATGGTGGGAGGGTAAGAGGGCTTTACCTGTTGGTTTCTAGTCTCCCCCTAAACTGCTCCAGCTGTGTAGGATGCCCGTGTGACAAGGATTTTACTGTTGGTCCTCACAGCACTGAGTCCCATCCCCTGCTTCTGACCCTTCTCCTTCTGTGAGTCTCTCTGAAGACAGGATCCAGCAATTGTGCAGGGCCTGAGAGGTTTGAAGTCACCCAGCGGTAGGGTAGGGAGAGCAGCATCTGAGTGCTGGGGGCCAGGATGAAGCCAGTGCATTGAAGGAAACAGGGGGAGAAGACAGCAGGGGACAATCTTGGATTTTTTTTCAACCAAGGAAGAGAGAGAGGGGCGGGGGAGAATCTCCCAGAATCCTGACTTTTCAATCATACTCCCAGCACTTGGAATTGTGCCCCCTCTTCCCTTCCTCTTTCTCTCTACCTTCACTTGCAGGCTTCTCTCAGCAGCATCCCCTTGCCCGACTATGCAGGTTCTCCAAAGTTAGGCACCCCTGTTCCAAGGCACCACTCACCACGTCCTGCATAGCATGGTCCCAGGAACCTGACTGGAGGAGTCAAGAATAAAGAAAGAAAGACAGACACACAGAGAGAAAAGCTGGGATCAGGGGGGCTGTGCTCGCTGAGGCAGAGGGCACCAACTCTACAGCCCAGAAACTCAGTACATTTATTCTGTTCTGCACAAGGGGGAGGAGTTAGCTCATCTCAGTGGGAGGTCTCTGTAGGAAGGAGTATTGGGTTGCGGAAATATGAGAAGAGGAAGCTATAGTTGCCAGTTTTTACACACACTCAATATCTGCACACCATTCCCATGGGTCTAAGACAGTGGAATCCTTAACATGGCCATGTTCAAGTCAGACAACACACATGTTCACTCCGGGCTTCCAACACTCCCTACCCAGCTGGCTTCTGACCAGGTTTACCCCAACCCTCCAAGTAATACAGAGGCTAAGATGTTGTCTGTCTCTACCCTTAAAAACTGTGTAACTCAGTATCCAACTATCCTAACGATGGTTTTCAACAGAAGATTCCAAGGCAAGAGAAAATGAAGAGACAAGAGCAACAAGTAGAAAGGGAAAGGAAGCTACCAGTGCAGTGGTATGGATGAATGCAAACTCACAGTTGAGAAGGAGGAACATAGAGACTTCTATGATAATCCCTATCCCACCCTAAAAAAGTGACAGCCTAGATAGAAAGCCTTCAAAGAAAACTCCTACAAACTGTGAGGAGGACACCACAGTTGATGACTTCTGGTGAGGATGGGGGTAGAGAAGGCATCTATTTTCTTTAAGGGGCTGGCTACTGGGAGCTTGACCATGCTCCCGGGAGTTGATGGGCAACACAAATTAGGCTTGATTTTGTTTTTTTCTTCTTCTTCTTTTTTTGTGGGAAGGAGGTCAGCAGAGCTGAGCAGGGGAGCAGACCTGGGAGGCCTGGGAAGTGAGTGTGATCAGGGTTCATGATGTGAAACTCTCAAACAGTCAATAAAAATATTATGTTTAAAAAAAAAACAGCAGCCATACAGAAGATACAGCCAAAAGGAGGACCCAGAATGCAAAGACCAGTCACTAGGAATCACCTGTACTGGAATGCTAAGGAATGGGGTGGACAGAGGCACAGGACAGAGGACAGATGAGAAGCCTGGACCCCCTGTCCCCCAGCTAGCTCCTGAAGAAACAGTGCATGGGGGGCTGGAGAGATGGCTCAGAGGTTAAGAGCACTGACTGTTCTTCCAGAGGTCCTGAGTTTAATTCCCAGCAACCACATGGTGGCTCACAACCATCTGTAATGAGATCTGGTGCCCTCTACTGGCCTATAGGATATATGTAGGCAGAATACTGTATACATAATAAATAAATCTTATATTAAAAAAAAGAAACAGTGCATGTACCAGGAACACTGGCTCTGACCGTCTGTGCTTGACCCTTTGACGGGAGTCATTGTTTCTAAATGACTTTGCCTTGTGCCTGCCGGCGGCGACAGGTGACTGCTACCCCACGCATGCTTTGGATACAGTAGTTTTCCATTGGTGACACAGCCAACAGCTGCCAGATCTTTCCTTGATCCGGATACAGGCTGAATAAAATCTGTAACCATCAAAAATATTTAATTAAATAATTATAATATGAACACCATAGGGCCTATATAACTTTGACTACTATTAGAAACAGAGGTGTGGTTTATGTATAGAAATTTCACCAGCTTACCCTAATAGCATTAGAACATAAAAATATTTTTATTCATTGTCCTGGGTTAGCTACAGTGAGCCTTGATTATTGATGCTTTTCAGTTAAGGACTCGCCCTTCCAAGTTTTGCTTTGATATACCCAGCCACAAATTAGACTGCCAGATGTGTATATGAGTTATTTTCTCACTTAAAAGAACAGAGGAATATACCTCCATGACCTTTGCTAGCTTGTTGGTGGAAATCGCAAAAAAAAAATTAATAATTAAATTCAAGTGATTAAAGAAATTAATGATAAGATGCCATACTATGGAAATTCAAAGCAATTTCTCAAATTCTTTCAGATGTGTCTACAAGGGAGAAAAAAGAAAGTCCATTTCCCAAATTAAAAAGCTTGAAGCCCAATGATTGAGCTCAAGTTGCCTTTGGGGCCCGAGGGAAAGCTGGTGAACCCTGACGACCCCCCCCCCCTTGACTCTCAATCTCTGCTCAGCAAAGGCTTCAGCACCACACAATTGTGTGAGTGGAAACAGAGGAGAACATTAATAACCGAAACATAATGAAACTGTGGGTCTTCCCAAGTTCAAGACCGCTGTTTGCATTTCATGGTGTCGGGGACCACTGAGCCCCTCCCTCACAGATCTTAGGGGCTGACTGTACCCCATTCAGTCAGAAAGAATGACATGCACCATTTTTTACTGACTACTTCTTCCAGAGAGATACACAGACTCCTGCCTGCACACAGAAGCCCAACCAGTGCTGCTAAGGGCAGATTTTCCTCACCACCCCTCAACCTGCCATGTCCATCCGCACTCGGCATCTTCTTCAAAGAGGTCAGAAACTCTGCAGTCAGCTCTAACAGGAGGTCCCAGGCCTCAGGTCCAGAAGCTCAGGCAGTCAGTGCTAACAGGAGGTCCCAGGCCTCAGGTCCAGAAACTCTGCAGTCAGTACTAACAGGAGGTCCCAGGCCTCAGGTCCAGAAACTCTGCAATCAGTGCTAACAGGAGGTCCCAGGCCTCAGGTCCAGAAACTCTGCAATCAGTGCTAACAGGAGGTCCCAGGCCTCAAGTCCAGAAACTCTGAAGTCAGCTCTAACAGGAGGCCCCAGGCCTCAGGTCCAGAAACTCTGCAGTCAGCTCTAACAGGAGGTCCTAGGCCTCAGGTCCAGAAACTCTGCAGTCAGTGCTAACAGGAGGTCCCAGGCCTCAGGTCCTTCTGCCATCCATCCCAAAGCACACAAGGGCTGTGTCCACCCAAGACGACCCCCAGCACCCACACTGATCCAATAGCAGGTCTGGGAGATACTGGTACTCACAGAACACACCACCACAAAAACAAACAAGCCCGTGACCTTCATCCACCGCACACAGCACCTGCAAGAGAAAAGGAGGGCCCTGAGCCACGCACGGTAGCAGCGTCTGCCTGAGATATGAAGGAAGGAAGATGAGACAGCTTGTTATTATTGTGTTCACTAGCTAAGTTCCATATGTGTTAGAAAACCGTTCTGGAAATCTGAAAATGGTAAACTTTTCTTTTGCATTTTCTTAGACTAAATGAATTGAACAAATAATCATTTCACATTTCCAAATTGTGTTTCAACAGCTCCTCCTTCAGTGGGAATCTAAATAGCATTTGTTTTTAAAACTATGAAATATAATTGAGGTATCCTCGGTGTACTATCTTTTTCTTTTTGTAACTGGCAGACAGCAGAACTGACGATTCAGAATGAAGCGTTTCTTGCAAATGTCTTTGCCATTCATGCCTGGTACTATCCAGACTTGTAGTTAGCCACTCCACAGGTACTTTCAGGGTAATGTATGCTTGCAGAAAGCTGAAGTTTATGACATCTGTTGAGCAGATGTCTAAACATGCCTCTAAAGTTGCTTTGGGTTGCAGGTAAGTCTTTTTGAGAAACCGATAAGGAAGCAGACACTCACAAAGACAGGTGAGATGAGCAAAACAAACTTAACAATCGAAATATTTTATTGTAGTCTCTGCCCAGGGGAGTTCCTTGTCTGGAAGTGTGTGTTGAGCAGGTGATATTAAGGAAGCATGCCCCTGAAATAATGGAAGGACAAGACAATCCAGAGAAGTTCTTCCATCTTGTATGCTTGTCATTTCAAACCAAACTAGAATCTGACCTCCTTGATGCAAACTCCCATGGGAAATTACCCAGTTCTGGTCTAGGAACCCAAGGTCAGGATATGTGAGCTAACTTACCTTTGCCCATTTGTGCAACCCCCCTGCAGCTAATAGCTTAGCTTGGCTTCTGTCGAACTGCTTGCTTACACAAAGCCCCTCCGCCACCATGAAGATGCAGAGCAAGATGCCAGGACCTCGTTTCTGCCTTCAAATCAAACCTCATGTTCTGGACACTCAGAGCCAAGCCTGGAACCCCCAATGCTTGCTTTGGTCCCGGCTGGCTAGAATAAAGACTTTCGGTTGGCTGTAAGGTGTGAGTGGCCATCTCTGGTGGACTACCTACAACCAAGCGCCATGCTGGAGAGGAACCTCCAATCAGAGGCATTAGTAAGATGAGTCTTGCTTGGCGACAGTGCTACTGTTGCCCCGATGAAGCCCTGTGTTTGATTTACTTGGGTCACTGCTTTGAAAGCTGCCTAGTGTCTTCCTGTCTTCCTTACTTGCTGCCAAGTAAGAAGCCATTCTTCCCTCATTTGTCTTCTGACTGCATTATCACCGATAAATGACCCCTATCTATTGAGTCACTGTGGTATAAAGAGCATTGAAGCAGGAATCACAGACGATCAAACCACTGAATGGAAAGTTACCTCACTCTGAGACAGCTGATGCCATGCCAACCTCTGAAACTATGAACAGTCAGATGCAGAGCGATGCTTAGAGTGACCCACGTAGCCAGATCTCCGAACACATACTTTTATGATTCGGATCATTCCAGAACAGATCCGTGAGCCAAGCATCTATTAGGCCTAAGAGGAGAGCTGAGAGCAGTCATGATAAAGAGGCTGCCAGTGGTTAGGGTGTTTAGGGGGACAAATGAGAAAGAGACAGGTCATGATCAAGATGAAAGGATTCCAGCCACTAGCCCTCTGCGTAACTGTTGCAAGTGTTGGGAGAATCGATAGGCTGGCTTGGTAATGACTTGGCAGGTGGGTTTCTATGAGCATAGAGCAAACACTGAGGCCTCCCACTGAGACGTCAGCCTTCCCGGTATCTTCAGAAAAGACTAATCCACACACACAGTGACACAGCACCAGTACTGGACACCTTGGTGGCACTTTCTCGCTCAGCTTGGGCATGCCCACATCATTTTTGTGTAAGCCCCTAGGGGGCAACAGAGTAGAGGGAGGTCGTGTCACAGGAGGTAACGACACAGCCGCACACAACCCTGCCATTGTCCCTCAGCCACTTCCAGTCTTAACGGGGACTACTGGCTTTAGCACTCAAGCTCTTGTCTTTCCTTGGAACGGGGCTTTCAAACACTTTGACCTAAGAAGAATTTTAAATAAATGTGTGTGTGAAGAAGGAAAGCCAACAAAAAAGCTAAAATATCTGGACACTCTTATGTGGGCAGCTCCAGAGGCCGGAAGGAACTCTTAGCCCTCCCACACACATTCCTTCATCCATGCCCACTGAATTCTGCCAGGCGGTAAATTCCAAAACACCACAGGGATCCCTAAACCAATGATCTGTCAAGAAGATGCCTGCTTAGGATGAATAGAAGATGCAGGTCACTTGGGTTTCTCATCAGGCTTCCTTGTGACTTGGCCGGTACCCTGCTGATTTTGCAGGGCTGAGCCATGTGTCTCCTGTGGCCTCGGAAAGGGTAGATAGTGTTGAAGCAGAAGTGTAACCTGAATAGGGAATCTGCCTCCTCCTCTAAACCTTACACTTCCTGATGGTGTAAGGCCTCAGGGCAAACAGAAAGCCACCTGCCGCCACCTATCCACTGCTGAAGCTGTATCTCCACATCCACCTACCCCAGTGTGGAGACCTGAACTCTGAGGTGGACGCTGCCCGCAAGACCCCCCTTCTCTGAGGAGGCCAACATAGACATATCCGCAACCTCTTTGCCCAATACGCATCTTTGTTCCCAGGCAGTGAGGCCATTTTCCCAAGAATCTTCAGTGGCTATGAACGCTGGGCGATGAGCAGGCATGAACTGTGACCTGGAAAGGGAGAAAAAAAAAAAGCTATGTATTTCCTGAAATATTAACACCCTTAAATACAAGATTTCTCCTCAGCTGTGAGGTACAAAATGTGATTAAATCAGTGCTGGTCTTGAAAAGAAATTGGTATCACCTAGGCCACAAATCTCTAAGCATGTCTATGGGAGAGGTTCTCAACTGGGTTAATTAAGCCGGGACAAGTCACCCAAATGTGGGCAGCCCCATTCAGTGGACTGAAATCCCCCACTAAATAAAAAGGAGACACTGGCGGCGCTCCAGCCTTCTTCTCTCTCTGCTTTTTGACCACAGGTGAATGTGACCAGCCGCCCCACGTTCCTGTCATCGTGACTTTGCCGCCATGATGAACAGTACTGTGAGGCAAAATGAACCCTGTTCCATCCTTAGGCTGCTTTGTCAAGCATCTTGTCCCAGCAATGAGACAGGACCACAGACATTGTGGCATTGTCTCATATATCTGGCAACATGTCTTTCTTGGCGTCACAGGGCTTTTGACTCAAGTTTTGTGGGGCTGTTCAGTCTTTAGAATGAATAGCAGGCCTGCAGGAGATTTAGTTGGTTTAGTTGATTTCTAGTGCAGCTGATCCTGGCTCAGGCCAGGCTCCTTCCACTATGGCCTTGTCTCAGAGTGTGTGCGAGTGGTCACTAGGACTCCACAAGTCCTGCAACAGGGCAATCTGTGTTCAGTTTTCCTCTTCCCATAGTGGACCGTAGGAAAATGGTCCATCTGCTTTCCCACACAGTAGCACTGGGCAGTGTCAAAGAGGACGAACAATGTCAGCATCAGCTAACAAAGGTTCGAGGCGGGATTATGTTTACAAGGGCAAATGGAAAGGAATTGCAGACTTTGACCTAAATTTTGTGGGAACACCTCATTTTCTTTATAGCTGAATGGTGTGGGAGGTCCTTCTGTCTATGTGTTGCTTTTATTGGTTAATGAATAAAGAAACCGGCTTGTAGAAGGTAGATGGAAGGCAGAGTCAGAGAGAAGCTATGTAGCCTCCAGAGATGGACGTAGGAACTTTACCCCGTAAGCCACAGTCACATGGCAATACACAGATTACTAGAAAGGGGTTAAATTTATATGTAAGAGTTAGCCAATAAGAAGCTAGAGCTAATGGTCCAAGCAGTGTTTTAAATAATACAGTTTCTGTGTGATTATTTTGGAACCAACAAGCGGCTCTCTCCCTCCAACAGCTGAATGCTCGGGAGCCTTCAGGGCGGATGTACTTGACCCTTAAAAGGTTGAACCAAAAGAGAGCCTTGATATTAATTGACAAAATGCTATTGTGATGACAATTTAATATTAACCATTGCAGAGATCCGGTGTCGCACCTTCATTTAGTTGGGCACTGGGATTCTCAATACATCATGGTTTTAAGACTTGTTCGCATAAAAAAAATAATAATAATAATAATCTCATTCTTAAGGAAAAACCTAGAGCTAGACACCAGGTTGGCTTAACCACAATGTAGTGGCCACGCTAAGTGACTTTGGAAATAGTTATCTTTCAGTTGATTTTATGACTGGGAAATGTCCATCCGTGAAGAATAGGATAATCTTCCTCTTCATTGTTGGGGAAAAAGCACAACTGTAGCTTCTTAATTAAAGAAACTGCTTTCTTTAAGGAAAAGAAGCCCATTGCTGTCTGTCCTGCATGAGGCAGTGCTGGGCATTGGTTCTTTCTGAGGAGTGGAAATGAGTTCTCCCCGTGTGCTCCAGAAACCCCAGCACAACCAGAAGGGCTGAAGCTGAACCATTGCGTGTGACGAGTGACTGCCATGTTAGAGCAGGTGTGGTGCATGCTCCAACCCTGTGCCATTGTCCCTGATGCTCTGAAATGGGTTCTTCCGTAAAATTACAGAACAGCTGAGGCTTTCGTGATAAACTATTAGTCAAATTGAAATTGTAACAGAGGCAATGTGGTTATTTAAAAAAAAAAAGTAGACAAAAAAGTTTCCCTACAGCCAAATAAAATCTTTAATTTTTAAGTTTTTATTTTATTTATACATTCTTGGAGCTTTCACACATGTATACAATGTATTTTTTTCTTGGTTTTTCAAGACAAGGTTTCTCTGTGAAATAATCCTGGCTATGTATACAATGTATTTTGACCATATCTACTGCCTACTTACCTTCCAAATTCTCAGAACTCTCCACAATCCCCCTTTTAACTTTATATCATCATTTTTTTCTTTATAGCCCACTGATTCCAATTATTGCTTCTCATGTGTTGATAGATGTAGATCTATCCACTGGAGCATGGCAACCCGTGAGAGGCCATGCCCTTTAAGAAAACTGACTCTTCCTCCCCCAGAAGCCACCAACTGTCAAAAGTTCTCAGCTAGAGTTGTAACTTCATGAGCCTCCCTCCTCCATGTGGAAACAGACTGGCTTGATCTTATGCAGATCTTCTGCAGGCAGTCAAAACTGTCGTGAGTCACTTCAATAGTACTGCACCATCCAGGAGACAGTATTTTGAAATGGTTCTCCACAGCCTCTGATTCCTTCCTCTTCTATAATGCTCCCTGAATGTTGGGAGGAGGGAGGCACAGAGATGTCCATTGGTGACTGAGCACTCCACAGCAACTTGTTCTAGGCTTTAACCGGTTTTTCTTGCTAGAGCGGTCATTATAGTAGTTTTCGGGGTTCACCAATGCATGAGATTGATTGACGTCTTTGCTCCTCTAGCAGTGTGTATCGAACTTTCCAGCACCATGAAAGCTAGCCAGTAGGGACAAAGCTTCCAGTCTTTACCGGACTGATTTCTCTGTGTTCTGTGGATGGTCACACAGTCAGGAATGTTTGGGCAGCACAAACTGGACTCAGTGGGTTGTTGATGTTGGGTTGTTTTTAATGAAGAAAAAAAAATGAGTAGGTAAGGAAGAGACTGTGGATCTGAGGAATTCTGGGAGAAAGGAGGAGAATGGGATCAAATTGCATTGTATGAAATCCTCATTTATTCTATAAAAGAAGCTTCTGATGTGAGGTGGAAACCACAGTAACCCACGGGTCGAAGGATAAGTACTTAGAAGGCAGTCTGTTTTTAGCCAAATGACTGGAGTAGGGCGTGTAGGACCACTCCAGTCACGGGGTCTTGGCCAGGCTTACAGTACCAGGTATGGTCCTCTCCTGTGGAGTAGGCCTTAAACTTAAACAGAAAGTTACTGTTATCCCAGGAAACTTGTCTCATTTGCACCAATGGGCATCTCTTACCGGGCTGGTCATTATTGGAGCTCACAGGGTTGATTGCCAGATAAGCCCACCACCTCTATCTTAATTTACTTCATGCAGAAGAAAAGAAAAAAATATCTCATAAGAAAAGTTGCCTTGAGTTTTGGCTTCAGTTTGCCCTGGCCTTCAGCATGAGCCCTGCCAACACCCAAGTCAAGCCTGTGTACCCCAGGAGCCGGACAAATGCTTGTGTGTTGGTTTTGTAGTGAACTGCGCATTTGAAAGGCGACAGCTCTTAATAGTTGAGCAAGTAATTCAAGAGAAATAACTAAAGCAATGTGTGGAATGTGTTGCTTTCGGCTGTTCTTAGGAAAGGAGTAAGAGAATTAAGTGATATTCCTACGGAGAAAGGTTAAGCCTACGGATCAAGGAGGTAGCCTGTCAGAATCGTGTGCACGCATGGGCGTGCACATGTGTGAGGTCATCATTCCAGGGTTATGCCCAAAGCCTCTTGAAAATTCACAAGCCACGGTGCGTGATCACAAACCACAAGTATCCGCCATAATGGACTCTCAAGGATCTGGCAGAGAGCCAACATGCCAAGTCAAAGTTCTTATCTCAGGAAGAATTCTCCATCATCCATGGGACAACCAATACGCAGGGCCACAGATATTTTCCAGAAAGTTAATCATTTCATAAACAGAACCAAGAACTCACCTTTTGTCCTGTGAGGAATTCCAGAGCAGAGGCGTGTCTTCCTTAAAACACAGGTCTTTGGAGCTGGAGCTGAACTGGGCCAAAGGTGAATGGGTCCTGGGAAAGACGAGGAAGGAATCAGAATCACCTAGGCGGAGTGATCCCTGCTGGAATGACGTGCTCAGTTCAGAGACAAATGAGATCTGTTGGGCCACAGTTTTCTCTGAGCAGTGGAATCACGGAACTTAGGGACAGCTACAGAGGACTCTCCTCTCTGCCTTTATGCAGATCCAAAGGAGACAGGAGCTCTCACACGAGAGACCGTCTGCCAGGGGACCGATCCTCTGGGGCTCCTTTTAGCGGTTTCCATCATTTGAAAATGTTAGCGTCCAGTGGGTCTCTTTTTTAGGTAGAAAAGTCTGTCTCCTGAGATCAGGATATAGTCACTCGGGAAATGTCCTAGTGGCTGCCATCAGAATGGCTCCCAGGGAACATGGCATATCAGCCGCCATTAAAACAAAGCCCAAGGTGGCCCTGGCTAGGATGCCCCTTTGCTATGTCGGACTGTCCAGTGGAAGAAGGGCCACGTGCACACATGAAGTAAAAGGTGTTTTCATGAGAGATTAAAGAATCTGTTTTCTCACCTAATCACCTTACACTCTGCTGCGCTCCTTCTCCTCTGGAGCCAGCATCATGCAGAGGTGTGGTGGCCTGCAGTGGGATTCCTCTCGGGATTCCCCTCTGTATGCTGTGAATGTGTTTTATTACCATCGATGAATAAAGAAGCTGCTTTGGCCTATGGCAGGGCAGAGATTAGCAAGGTGGGGAATCCAGGCAGAGATAGAGGAGGAAAGGAGGCAAAGTCAGGCAGACGCCATGTAGCTGCGGAAGGAGAAAGACGCCGGAACCTTGCCCGTAAACCAGAGCCTCGTGGCAATACACAGATTAATAGAAATGGGTTGATTTAAGATAAAAGAGCTAGATGGGAATACGCCTAAGCTGTTGGCCAGTGTTGTAATTAATATAATTTCTGTGTGATTAGTTGGGTCTGGGTAGCCAGGAATTGAAGACACAGTCTCCATTTACAGTGGTCACCATGAAACAGTCACCTAGAGGAACAACAGTAACAAAAACAAACACATGACACCAAAGAAGACATTTAAGAAAAATAAGTCTATTTGCCCTTTGTCATGTAGGCATTTAGTTGAGCCGTGGACAGTGCGACTCTTGTCTTGCGGAGAACTGAAAACCATGCTCTTCTCCTGTGTCTAACAGCACCTACCGTATCACAAGGACACAGTCTGCCTAGAACACGTGTGTGTCTTCTGTGCTCACCCCGCACCATTTCCTGTGGAGAACAGACGTGCCCAAGAACCCTGCTCACAGGCACCGTTACAGACAAGGGAGCGTCAGGATAGAAGCATTAGGGAGATTTCTTGGGAGCTCTTGGTATGGGAGCTGGCAAGACGGCTCGGTTGGTTAAGCACAATGACCTCTCTTTCAGAAGACCCAGATTCTATTCCCAACACCGACATGGCAGCTCATAACCATCTGTAACTCCAGTCTTAGGAGACCCAAATACCCTCTTCTGACCTTTGAGGGCACCAGGCACACACATGGTGCACAGACATAATCAGACAAGACACCTGTATACATATAAATGAATGGCTGGTCTAAAGGAAAGGAAAGTAGAAGAAGATTGCCTGAGACATTAAATAATTAGCAAGCTTCAGCAAGTCAAACTTACTAGAGAAGTTCTATGAGTCTGTTGACTGAGGCTTCTGTCCCGCCCGGTCCTGCAGCCATTCAGCCCCAAAGAAATCACACAGAGGTCTACATTAGTTATAAACTGGTTGGCCTATTAGCTCAGGCTTCTTATAACTCTTATAACTTATATTAGCCCATAATTCGTGTCTGTGTTAGCCATGTGGCTTGGTATCTTTCATCAGCAATGACTGCAGGCTGACCTTTCTTCTTCCCAGAATTCTCCTGTTCCCGTCGCCCCACCTCTATTTCCTGCATGGTCGCCCTGCCTATACTTCCCGCCTGGCTACCAGCCAATGAGCATTTTATTAAAAATAATACAAGGGACAGGGTACGGACCATTGTCCCACAGCATGAGTTGACTCTCCCATCTCCCATAACTGATTCCGAGGTCTCTGAGTACATTTATGGGCATGTCCCCTTGTGTTTCCTTCTGCTGCCCGAGTGTTTACATAATATTTCTGGAAAAGCCGAACCTTGCAAGGACCTTGTTCAAATAATCTACTCTGTGCCTGTAGTTATCAATCATGTGAAAAGAAACACACACATATATACATACATACACATAAACTCTCACACATATTCACACACATATACACATTCACATAAGCATGCATATACACATGCACACACACACATACACAGATACTTGCACACATATACATGTAGACATAGACATACATCTATACACAAAGACGCTCACACACATACACAGACACTCACACACATACACAGACAGTCGCACATATATACACACAGACATAGACGTGTATACACACACATGCACACACACATACACAGACACTCGCACACATATGCACGCAGACATGGACATACATATATACACACACATGTATGCGCACAGGCTTTTGTTTTTGTCACAGTGAATAAGGAGATATAAATGAAAAGTACATGTGCCTATACTTATTTTGAGTAATTTGGAGACTGTAAAAGGTGATAACAAATTAAACCATTGTACCTAATTTTAGGATTCAGCAATCCTTACTGTTAATAGTTTAAAAACTTCCTTTTACTCTTTTTTTTTAAAGAGAGGGTGGCCTAGATGTATAAGCTTGCAGTATTACTGCCTTTACCGAGTCTTTTTTAAATAATATTTTTATTTCATCTTTGAAATTGTATGCCTGTGTGCAGTGTATCAGTCCACCACTGCCTCCCTCCACCTTCCTCTAGAGATTTCTCCTCCCTCTCCTTCCTATCTCCATGACCTGCCTGTGTTTCTGTTATTAATAGCCCCCTGCATCCAGTGACTTCTACCTCTCTTCATGCCTGTCCCCAACTGCCAGCTCCTATGCCCAGGAGTGAGTGCTTCCAGGTCCCTCTGCCGCCCATGCTGCAGTTCTTTTTTAAAAATAATATTTATTTATTTACTATGTATACAATATTCTTTCTGTGCGTATGCCTGCAGGCCAGAAGAGGGCACCAGACCTCATTACAGATGGTTGTGAGCCACCATGTGGTTGCTGGGAATTGAACTCAGGACCTTTGGAAGAGCAGGCAGTGCTCTTAACCGCTGAGCCACCTCTCCAGCCCCCATGCTGCAGTTCTTACTGACTTGATATTGTGCCGGCCTTGTGCAGGTGACCACAGCCCCTGGGTCGATCTGTGCTACAACCATGTCACATCCAGAAGTCAGCTTTCCACTGCCCTTCTCCCCATCCATCCTGCTCGTGTGCTCACACCACCTGGTCTTCCGCAAATGCTCCCTGAGCCACAGATGGGAGGAAGTTAGCATAAAGAGCTCACCCACAGCTAAGCACTCGCAGCTACCTAGACTTGGTACCTCAACCAGTTATATTCTCCGCCTAAACCACCGCCCACTGTAAGAAAAAGCTTCTCTGACCAGAGTTGAGAGCTCACAGATCCAAGGATGTGAGCATAAATATTTAGAAGGCTGTTTGCAGTGGGACCAGTCATCATAGCCACAATGGGTACTCTGCCCATCCAGGGCCCATCATCTCCCCAGTCATGGACTTTTGAGCAGGTCTATGGTATGTAGACTCTCCTGTGACACAGGCCTCAAATCCATCTGGAAAGCAGCTGGTTACTCCCATAATAGTCGGGCCACTATTGCAAACAGTAGGCACAGTCTTCAAAGAAGGTCAGTATTGTTGCATGCAAGATATAATGTCAGTTGGGGCGGTAGATATCTTTTCTCCCCCAGCAATTCTGCATAGCTCCTTCGGTCACTATGTAAGCCAGCAACCAGGAAAATGTTGGCGGACATTTCTTTCCCACCTGCCAGTTCCCAAATAATCTACATGGAGACACAATATTAATTATAAACACTCAGCCAGTAGCTCAGGCTTGTTACTAGCTAACTCTTACATTTAAATAAACTCATATTTCTTAGCTATGCTTTGTCACATGACTTGGTATCTTTTCTCAGTACAGCATGCCCATCTTGCTTCTCTCTGCATCTGCTGGAGACTCCTTTGACTCTGACCTTCTTCCCAGGATTCATTCTCTGTGTCAGGCTGTGTCCCCCAATCTCTTCCTGCCCAGCTATCATCTAATCAGCTTTTTATTAACAATGTGAATAATACATATTTACAGTGTACAAAGAATGTTCCCTAGCAGAAAAAAAAATGGTTTCCTGGTCAGTCAAGGTTGATTTCTGTATAGCCTGCATTCAGAGTGCATGGTGTCTTCAGTAATATGGTCTTATCAACTAGTTTTGGTGGACAACCCAGAACAATGTCAGCAGCCTGTGTTATTTTGTGTCCCTCCAAGAACCTCCCTCAACAATAACATAAAGGGAGATATCCTGTGACTGGCACTGAGATTTTAATTTAATAATCCATGTCTTCTGAGAGCAGCATTGCTACCCTACCCATGCAGAGTTGTGGTGGAATATTACTGTAACGATGTAAAGATGTGTTACATTTGTTTATGTTGCCTTGGTTCAATGATGTAAAGACGTGTTGATTTACCTGCCTAAGGCACTTGATTGGTCTAATAAAAAGCTGAATGGTCAATAGTTAGGCAATAAAGGGGTAGGCGGGTCTGACAGGTAGAGAGAATAAATAGTAGGAACAATTTATGCTTGAGACAATGAGGGAGCTGCCTGGGACCAGTCAGCCACCAGTCAGCCAGACATGGAGGAAGCATTGAAAGCAAGGCATGCATAATGAAAAGAAGGTAGCCGATTGTGGTGGCGCACGCCAGTAGGATTTGCTGAAGGAGGCAGGCAGGGGCAGGAGGATCACGAGTTCGAGGCCAGCCTGGGCTACACATTTTGCCGGGCGATGGTGGCTCACGCCTTTAATCCCAGCACTCGGGAGGCAGAGGCAGGCAGATCTCTGTGAGTTCAAGACCAGTCTGGTCTACAAGAG